AAAAAAACAAAACAAAAACCCACATGGGACTGTTCATAGAGTCACCAGGAGTAAGTTTACTACCCCTAAACCCTAAGTTCTGAATAAATGAATGATTTTCAGTGGAGGCTTACCACTGAATCACCAACTCCGTATTGGCCCTTATCGGGACCAAATGGTGATGTGTCAATGCGTGTAGAAATAAAGGGTCTCAGAATAGGAGATCCCGAGGGTTTTTTTCTTTCTTCCCCTTCAGCGCAGCGTCTTAAAAAAGGGATAGAAATGAATCGTTTTGCACGGCACCGGACTTGCCTGGGCGATACACCATCCGCACCAGCAGAGGGCAGACCCGCTTCCCTTGCCTCGGAGCGTCTGGAGAGATCGCTTTCCGGTCCTAGAGCTTGCGACATAAATTAGGTTTTCTCCGTCGAGAGATCTGGTGGAGAAAGGAGGCGGGTTCCCATTTATCTCTGGTGCAGTGGGAGAGGACAGTAATTAACCCCGGGGACTCTGCTGGGCCTCTCACTCTGGACTCCGGAGCGGTTTTCTCTCAGAAAAGCTCAGCTCGCACCTTTGGCTTCCTGCAGCTGTGAGTGAACCTTGAACAGCTGGATCTCTCTGCGCCTACGAGCGGCTTTCTTTTTTCGATTCCTGATTTTAGCCAAGTTGGCCCGAGAAATGCAGGCTTTGGCGCTCTGGCTGACCGTAGGCGCTCTCCAGCTGTGGACAGCTGTCCACGGGGGACCCCAGCAACAGCGCTTTGTCGTGCCGGACGTGAAGTGGTCCCTGCACAAGGTAAGCGGCGGCTGACCGGCCTCGCTTCTGCTGCTGGCGTGAGGGTCGGAGGAAGGCGAGGGTAATCGCGCCTGGTCCTTAAATGCGAAAGCATAGGGGGCTCGCCGGGGAAATGCATCCCCATGATTCTGACATGGTCTTGTGAGTGATATGCACGCATGCCTAAAGCTCTATTGTAGTAACCCGCTAGTGGCGCCTGCCATCTTCAACCTAGGCCTCTTGCTGGAGATGGGACTTGTCGGTCTCCCCCCCATTCGAAAATATTAAGGTGCCGTCTAATGCACAAAACCTCTCCTTGTATGTTACTGTTTTTATATTTCATACTTTATTGTAGCGCTCTCGTTGCTGCTTGCATGAAAACCTGGGTCAGGAATGCTTTAAATACTTTTCAGCTGGGGGTAAGACAGAATGGCCTAAATGACTGCTTACAGCTTTGATTCTATACGCTCATTTTGGAAATCCGGCATAGTTCCGAAGGCTGAAGGATTTAATACTATGAGAGTAGCTGGTAATATGTGGGCTTGTCAGTATAGCTGGAGAACAAATAACAGTGGATTTCAAACAGTGAGGCTACTATATCAGGAGCCCACATCTGAGTAATTTTGTTGCTGTTAGCAGAAATTTAATGTTACGTCTTCACATGCAGTCCTAATGACTGTATGTGGTTGCAGTTAATTCTTGCCACTAACGAAAGGTGGATCTTCAGTGGATAAGAGCCCTGCTCATTGCCGCTACTAATATAAATCTTCCTCTTAGAAATTAATAGGACGATTGATATAAAAAGAAGTGAGTGTCATGTACTTCAAGCGTAATTAGTGGAGCTCCCAAGGTCTCCTCTCAATGGGAGGAGAAATGATTTGTGTAATTCTGTATTTAGACCCACGCTAAGGAAACAGTTCCTAACAGGATACTTGGGTCATATAGATTTGAACAGAGGAAACAACAATGGGTTAGTAGTAATTATTATTAATCACCATCTATGATAGTATGGTTAGTATCTTGCTCAAGACTTTGTATTTGAATGCAGACTTGAATCGGGGTTTCCTCACACCACTACAACCATTGCAAAATACGTGGAATTGTGTTTTGCTGAGTCCCTATTTCTCTTCCTTCATTTAAATCAGGAGCATCATAAATATTTATTAATGTAAATATGTTTAACCTGGCCATTATCCTAAGGATCTCAGGGCAGGCTACAAGCCATTAAATACAGGAGATAGAACAATAAAATGAACATAAAAAATAAGCAATACCTAAAATAATAGTAACTATAGTACAATAATAGAGAGGGACTTTTTAAAAAGAAGAATATGGCTATGGCTGGCTGTGGTTATTAAGTATAGAATGTGAGAAAGCTAGATTTTTACCTGGCACCCCAAAGGAGACAGTGTTGAGTGCTTTCTGGCCTTCAGGGAAGGGACAATCCAAAGCTCTTCAGTGAACTTGTTGGAAGTAAGTGTGCGTAGGTCATTCAGCCCAGGATTGTGTACATTCACTGCCAGCAGCTTTCTAGGCCTTACCTAATTGTACATGGGCACCTGGGGAATTGCTTAGGGGACCTTCTGCCTGTGAAATACACTTTGTCAATTAGCTGTTGTGACCACATCCTCCCTTTCGACAATTGCCCAGCTGCTGTCCCCTCCCCATTTCTGTTCCAGGAAAATTGCTAATTGCTTCCCTTGATAGGGGTGGGTCTTATTGGACATATATATGTTTATATTTGTATATGAATGCAGAGTAAAATTGAATGTATATATGAAGTTAAAGTTCAAAAAGCACATATATGCAGGCACAACAGCCAGCTTTAAAATAATAATTCCTTTTCTACTGATGTGTTGGTGTCTAATACATTCTAGAGCTATGTATTTTACTACTAATATTACAATCGTGCAGTGGTTATAACACATGCCTTGAGAATAGAAGGTTGCTGGGTCAAAACGTGGGAAAAGTTTTTAAAAATCGACAATTTTTCTTTTCCTGAGTACCTACATTTCCCTGGGCTTTTTAAAAATAAGTCCAGTAGTGCATCATTTCATTATTTCTCCAGTTCCCCTCAGAGTGGGGAAACCCAGAGCAGATGTAACCCTTTAACTTCAAGTGACTGGGGAAATGATGAAATGGTACACTGTGGGACTGATTTTTTTTTTTTTTTTAACAACCCTCAAGGAAAACTAGTTAGCTTATGGAAAGAAAACGTTTGCTAGATTTAAAACTGGCAGCCTTCTATTTATAATACAAGTATTACTACCATTATTTTATTACAGTGTTACTGGTAAAAGTCACTCTAAAAGACAGTAAGACCATGGTAACCATTACTGCAGTCGAGGGTTATTCCTACCTCTGTGGAGTAGCCAGTTGACTTCTGGAGTTAGCTTGTAATGAAGTAAAGCACACCAGCCAAAACAGATAGGAATATTCAAAGCAAGATAAAGGGGGAAAGAGCATTTTAAAAAACAGCAGCAGGAAAACATGCCTGGAGATGAGTACAAAGTGATGTTCCTGCTTTCTAGAAATGATTGCTGATCTATTCTGGAGACAGAGCAACTGGACAATGTGAATAAGCCACAATCTTATTTCAGATGAACAGCTGCTGTTTTCGTCATTTAGGAAACTTTATGCATGACATAGTGTTTAGACATAACTTCTCACATGTATTGTGAATTCATGGTACAGTTCCTGGGATTGGAGGGGGGGGATATATTAGCCACATTTGGACAAGCAATTCTGCTTTTTGAGGAGTGATATTGCCTCATCTTCCTGCATGTAGAGAGAACTTTTCTGAAAAGAAAAGTAGGTTGATTGGTTATGTTTGATCAATTATGTGAGCCCCAGATCTTTAGTTCATAATGGAAACTTGCAAAAATGTAAGAAATAGATCTTTGAATCAGTAACATAGTTCCTTATTTACATGAGTGACCGAAGCTAATGATGGTTTCAGCACTTCCATTTTGAACATTCTCTTTTCTGCTAGTATAAATAACTTACCCTTTATCTACTGCACTCGTGCCCCGGTAGTAACTTCCCATGAGGATTTTTCCTGTGGAAAAAGTATTGGATCCAGTAGAGCTCTTCTGACTTACCCAGGTTCCACATTCTTACTGTAGTTGTCTAATAGATACTCACAGAAGGAATTGCAGTAATTGTAGAAATCATATAATTCTGCTTTGTATGGATATTGTTTAATATTTAATGTCAAAACATGTTACGATACATGTTGAACTTGATAGAACTTTTCTTGAACCTAGGCTTCTAGAATGCTAACCTCTAACCATCTGGAAGCTGTTCTTGTTATAGGATAGTATCGAGGCCTGTTGAGAAGTCACCATAAATGTTAGTTCAACCAGTATCCCAGTTTAATTTCCACTTTTCATCTTAGATAGCCAATACATATGATTCCAAAATATCTGAATACCATCACTTATAATATATTATTTATTTACATAATATTTAATTATTGCTGGAATAAACTCTGCTTTGAAATGTTGTAAACCAGGCATATGTTTATTAGCAAACCAAGTTTATACATGCTACATTTGATAAAGCAGGGATAGGCAACCTAGATTTAGCTGTGGTGCTGACTGATTGATCAGTGCATGGACCTAAATATTTCTTTTTACAAAACTGATTCTTAGATTGGAATCTAATAAGATTTTCACTTATAAAACATTACTTTCTAAATAAGTTACCACCAATGTGCCATAGATTACACTTGACCAAATGAAGTGGAGGTTTTGCAACACTTTAAAAAAATATGTTGCACAATTAGCTAAGTGGTGTTTGTTAAGTAAGAAGCTTAATAATTAAATGTTAACTCTAATCCTCAAGGATGCGTGCTTTTTTTAAGATCTATGAATGTGAATTTAAATTTACCCAATATAGAGTTATTGAGCAATGGACACCATATCTTCATGAAAGTCTGGGGTGTGTCACTACTCTTATACACCCAGTCCAACCTGTACAGACCTGGAGTACTCTGTGGTGAAATTGTTACGGAGTGTAGTGCTGTGCTTCTGGGTTAAAAGAGGTTTTTAAGTGAGGTTTTATCAGTTGGAACTAAGAGTCATCCTGTCTAACCAGTCTCTTGAAGGGGTTCCCCAGAAAATAGAAAACTCCTTCCCAGAAAACATTTCTCATTAAGAATTAAAAGTACTTGCCACACATTGAAGGGCTGGGTGGGCTGAATGCTATATTTCCATAAGGAAGTGTTTCCTCCATAGGAATTTGATGGCCTCTGTAGTGACCAGTGACTGAGGCCATTGTGGTGGAATTACTTAATTATGGAAAAAATTCTCCAGCAGGTAGCAGAATAATTGAAACCCCAAGACCGCCATGGGATGATTTTGCAAAACAAAGAGCTACGGCAACATTCATGCTCTGATTTGTCCAATCTAGGGCTCTTCAGAAGTGCTGACCATGCTACTGGGGAATTGCTGTCTCAATACATCTGGACACCTGGGTGGGAAGACTGTTCTAGTTCTTCTGCCTGTCCGCAAAGCCTTTGCCCTTGTCTAGTTTTGCTGTAGCCTAGCTTGTACTTTGCTATTAGTTGCCTCAAAGAAAACAATAAAAACAACAAAAAGATCTTCTGGCTGTTGTCTTTTGAAGGCCACCTATGTAAATAAGTTTTATGCAGGGACTGAGTGGAAATATAGAATTAACTGAAGTCATAAACCTTTTTGGGAGTTGTACCTCTTCTGGCTGCAAACAGAGAGTCTCACATGATGTAATGGTCTTCCATATTAAAAATGCTCAGAAAGCTATGTGTTTGGGAGAAGCTTAGGCTAGAAATCTTGGAAAATAGCATTCTGATGTCTAGGTTTAAAAGTGAAATGGATCATGGGAGCCTTCACATGCGGTCTAGAAAATGCAGGACTATCATTTCAGTGCAGATCTTATTAAATAAAAGTGTGGGGGGGGGGATCTGCAATTAGATCCACTGAAAAACAAAATAGGATAGGAAGAGTTAGATAGACACAAAGGGATATTTAAACCTTTTCCCTTTCTCCCCCTAATTAAATTGTACATTCCAAGTTCCATAAATATTATTTATCCTGTTAAGCAAAACATAAGCTAGTCATCCTCATGCTGGGATGAGCCAGATGTGCTTGGGCTGCAGTGCCAAATTAACCAGTGTAGTATCAGACTGGGGAAGGCTTTCCTGTCAAATTTAATGCACGATTTTAAACCTGTTCTTTCTTTATACATTCAGATCCAAAACTTTGCATGGGAGAACTGTGGGCCTCCATCGGAACCTGGTGTGATTAAGAGTCTGTCTGTAAGTCCAGATCCAATTGCTGTCCCTGGAGATGTGACGGTCAGTGTATCGGTGGCCAACACTATAATTTTCACTGCTCCTCTGAAGGTATGTGAAAGATGATGGAGCCAACCCAAACAGAAATCGCTACTTGCATCTCTGAGAGTAGTACATTTGGGAGAATAAACATATTTATTTGGTATCTTTAACTAAACTGGGCCTGATATAAGATTGCATTTTTTTTATGGCACCTCAGTTCTTCACTTAACTTGGGCGTCAACAGCCCCAGCTTTTTCAGCTCCCTCCTTGTTCTTTCTTTCCTAGATAAGGGCGCCTTTGAGTCATGCTCAATTCCTGATGATTAAATCCATGTAGTTTTCTTGCAGCATTGCAGAATGTCGCCTTCTGCGTTTTTCCCCCCCCCCAACTTTCCAGCCCATTCAGCAGCCCTGTAATTCCCAGCTGGGGCCCCATCAAAGCATCAACTGGGACTGACTCTGCTTAGCTTCCAAGATAACTGACAACCATCTTAGTGCTGCCCCCTGCTGAAGCCTTCCTTCTCTCCTAATTGCTATCAGAGAAAGACATTTTTTCCAGTAGAGTAGATGGGAATAGTCTGTAGACTCAGAGCCCCATGCCAGATTTTAGCAGTGTGATTACTGAAAAGTGGTGCTACACTTTCCAACCATGTTGAGCCAGAAAACACATGAAAGCTATAAGCCCTAAAATAGGTTTGACACCATTAAAAATGACACAAAATAACAAAAGAAGAGCCTTCCCCTAATATGGAAAATCTTAGCCCTGCATTTTGCACAGTTTTCCCACTCAGTAGTTCCTTGTCACTGAAAAAGTGGCCATCCCCAAATAGAAGAAGGAAAGAAGGTGCTCGAAGACCTGCTAGGGCCTCTTCAGGGAATTGACAAGGAAGCAGAAGTAGACCGGCAAACATCTTTGAGGGGTTGTTCTTCTGTTTAAATGTTTCTTTTTCTTCTGTTTGGTCTCAGACAGCTGGAATGAGAAGGAAGCAGTACTGACGTTTGATATCTACCAAGGGTTTTTCCTAGTGGGTGGGATCTTGGGCCTGTGCAGGTAGTCTGGCTCCATCTAGTTTGGCTCCCTTTTTTTATTGGAGTTCAGTATAGGTTTTAGGTGAGGTAGGGGGAAGCAATCTGCAAAATTTTCATTAAATGTAAGGATCTTGGGCATTTCAACAGTGTACATTAAGAACATAAATTATAGGATTTTTTAACATTTCTTAATAGCAATTATGAATTATTATAATAGCTATTAATAATTTGCTTTTTTTAAACAAAGAAGACTGTGCAAGACAGTATCCTGACTAAGAACCTAGAACTGTTTGATTGTGTTTCATAATGTTCACCCATTGTAGAATGTTTATAAGTACTTTTAAGGAGTAACCTGTAGTCTGAAACTTAATTAGGTTTAGCAAAATAAATGGAAATACAAATAGTCCTTGTTTAGCAACTGCCTCATTTAACAACCGTTCATGGTTACGATGGTGATGAAAAAGTAACTTTGTGACCAATCCTCACATTTATGACCATTGCAGGCCTGTAAAGCAAAGGAAAGCTGAAGTAAGTTGCACTTAGTGACTGCTTCATTTAATGACCAAGTTGCCAGTCCCAGTTGTGGTTGTTAAATGAGGACCACCCATAAACCCAAATGGAGCTGGGTTTCTATCTCCTAGGCATATTTTCTCCAGGATAATATTTTAGAAATATCATTCAAATGGTAGTTATTGCTTATTACCACTTCTGTTTAAATTCTATAGGATTTGGAGAGGAGAGGTTTCGCCTATATAGCCAAAATACCTGTTTATTAGTAGTCTATAGCATAATAGAGTTTTTAAAAATAGTGACGCTTTCAGGAATGTTAATTTGATAACTTGATATTCAAAACGTAAAATAAAATGAACTCCTGTAAGTTCCTTTCTTATGAATTTGCACAAAATGGAAAATAAATTTTGTTTTGAGCCTGAAACAAAGCATTGCATTTTGGAAGTTCTGCCCAGAATGTTTGGTTGTTCCAGGTTTTGGCTGAAACAAATCTGGAATGATTCCAGATTGATTTTATGGGTTGAATTGGGCAGGGCTGGTGTATGTTATCCCTTCTCTCCTCAGCTTCTCCTGATGAGTGTGCCACCATCCAGTCTCTCCAGCACCCTCTCTTCTTCTGCTTTTTCTCACACATGCCTATGCAACTGGAATAACTATGTTTCAGTCTGTTTCCAGAAAAAAACAGCCCTTTTTCATTCCATATATGGGCCCAAACACTCGAAACACATGCTTTGGTTTGGACAGAGGCTACTCAAATCCAGCTATTCCATGTATTGACTGATTTGTACATGGAATGGCTTGTGCACAGAACATTTTACATATCCCTTCCTTCCTTCCTTCACATAAATAAAGCCATAATAAGCTTTCTTTAAAAACTGTAAAGATAAAGATACCCTTTAGTCAAGTTTGACTCCAGTTGATTCCATCAACACTGTTTTCCTGGCAGTATTATGGAAGTGGTTTACTTTTGGCTGCTTCTAGAATTTTGTTGACTTCCTAGGGGAATCCCCCAACCAAGTACTAGCTAGGATGGATCCTACATAGTATTTGAGATCAGCCATGGTCCACTAGATGCTGCCACATGCTGAGTTTAAAAAAAACGATAGATTAACAAAGTAGGGACCCAAGTCCACCTCTCCCTTCTCCCATGAAGCAAATGTAGACCCATGAAATTGTAAGGGACAGCCATTGTGAAAAACTAGCTAATGCTTTTGCTAAAAAGAAGTCTCCATTCACCTGACCATGATAATTTGGTTCCAAATATTTAAGCACAAGGCAAACCAGTATTCAACTTGTATTTAGCAGTATTCAATTTGTCTTGCAGCTATGCTGATCAAAAGTAGATTTTTGTAGAACATCACAGGACACTTACATTGGGTAGTAAAAGGCTACCTAGGTGACATTCCACAGAATGAAGTTTTGCCATTTTTAAAATGGGAGCTTTGTGCCTCATTCTTCAAATTTTGAACCCCATTTCCAAGAGGCATCTCAGCCGAAGCGTTCGATTTTCTGTGGTATTGGGCCTCATAGAGCTTTGTGGGAAGCGCTCTTGTATGGTTACTTCTTGAACCAACTCATAGCATCTAATGGCCCATAATGTTTTTGTTATTGGAATATGTGTGGTTTTGACCCCAGTTATGCTGTGTTATGGCACTGTATGTCTCAGTGTGTAGTGTTAGTGGCTATTTTGGTTTTTTATGCTTTTAACCCTATGTAAGTTATTTGGGAGTTAGGCAGCCATATAAAGCATTCAAATAAATAAATAAAATATCAGCAGAAATTAAAGTGGATTCAAGCTAATCTTCTCCTGTTAAGCAACTTATCTATGCTATGGTCTAGCCTCAGCCGTATTTCTAAGGGACAACAGTGAAGTCAGGAGACACACGATAATATCATATCTAGAATGATCTCATCTTCAAAGACTGTAAAGGCTGCCAATAACACCCACTAAGTAACATTATGAAAATTGACTTGTGTTTATTGATTGTACTGATACAACCTACCTGTCTGCTCACAAAAGATTTAGTCTTGAGGAATTATGTATGTATGAGCCTTTTGAGCCCCAGACCTGAGAACTTTGGTTGTGGTTTAGCTCAAGTGTTGTAAGCTGATTTCCTATTACTTTTTGATGTTATCTTTTCCTGTCTTACTGGTTTCTTGATCATTCTGTTAGTAGTTCTCATACCTTTTGAGACCTAGTGATTATTCCTGTTTTAGGTTTCAGGCACCGAGGCAGAGAGGGATGTCAGATGAAATATAATGAAATCCTGTCAAAAGAAGAAATAGTATTTTGTGTTCTTGAGCAACCTACAGGATTGTCTCCAACTGACCTAGTATTGCAGCTCTTCAATCTCCTTCACATGGGCTATAGACTTGAGCTTGAATCAACTGATAGGCCACTGGCTTTTCTGCTCAAGTCCCAGGATGTTTAAACCTGAAATCCTTTCAGATCTAATACTATGGTTTGTGCATAAGCTTGAGTTGAGGTTTCCTAGCCTATTTGGATGGTTGACTCAGAATGGCAAACTAAGGTGTGCTTCTAACTAGAAGAGTGTGATGTGATATGTATGTTTGCACGTTCAAGGTTGTTTTCAAATCCAAGGCTTCTACATTTTGCTCCAAGTTCTGTTTGCGTGCTCGCGTGTTCTCTCTCTCTCTCTCTCTCTTTCTTTCTTTCTAGGGGAGATAGGGCTCACATGTGTGGCCAGAGAGCACACTTTGCAGCTGAGTAGACACAGGACAAATATTTTTTTTGAGTCTAGGCCTAGAAGTTCACTTAAGTATTTGTGGAAAAGTAAATTCAATGCTTAAAAAATTACATATTGGAGAACAAATAAGCTTAATACCTTCCAGTAGGAGACCCAGAGAAGCTGTATCTGTTCTAAAATGTTAGAGGCCACATTAGAGGCCATTGAGGGTTCTTTTGAAAATGGAACATAGGTAGAACATCCATAATGAGAAATTCAGTGCATTGCCTCTGATCATTTTATTTATTTTATTATTTGATTTATATCATCCCAAATGTTCTATGGAAGCTTAGTATTTAGATGGTTCAGGGACAGTAGACCCTTGGTTAATTTTGGGCTGTAGCCAATGCTAGATTTCTCCAGTTCTGCAGGTAGATTCTGTCTGGGGAAGCAGTTTGCTCCCTGGCCATGGCAGTTTTGCAAGTATTATATTCTCAAATCCATTCAGTCCAATTTCCACATCACTCCACATCTCTTTGCAGTTTAAGAATGCAAAACTGTGTGAAAGTTCTCATTGAAATTCATATGGTTTTCCCAGACATTCCTATATGCCTCTGGTTCTAAAATAGGATTTTTTAAACCTCCTTTTGAGAGAAATACTGTACTGCAAAATTTGGAAAAGTATAACATCTTTTATATGGTAGTCCGGAAAGTATTTATTAGGTTGATTATTAAAAATGCGACTCAAGGACAATCAAACCCTCATCTCTCCTTATGGAGGTACATTTTTGGGGGGTATATACCTCAAGAGCATAACATTTTCACTTGCCAGTTACTCAGAAGTTGTTGGAGGCCAGTCTGCTGACGCCTTCAGCTGCAGGCACTCTCACAGTGCTGGAAAAAGATGAACCAGTTAATTCTTTCCTCCAGCTAACCAACAGGAAAGTCCAAATAAGACATTCAACCAATGCCCTGCCTCCCATCTATGATTTCATTTCATATTGTGATGATTTTCCCCTAGTCCAAATAGATGTTATAGAGAGTAGATGTTGCAAAACCAGTCACTGTCCCTTTGCTGTATTTTAAATTTCTGGGAAATAGTAGCATTTTAGCCAGCCTCTGTGGCAACTGTTCTCAGGGGACGGGGAAGAGCCTGGCTTGAGGAGACGCCAGGAGCCAGAGTGACCCAAGAATTGTCAACACACACACTCTGTAGGAAGCAAACCTGCACCAGTTCTCCTCAACTTCCACGTTTCAAAAGGGAAATGTGGAAGTTGGCTTCAGCTATGATTTGGGAGGTGCCGGTAATGAGCTAGAAGCAAATTATATCAGCTTATGAACAGAGATGATGATGTGGGAAAACTCAGGTGCCAGTTTGAGAGCAGTGGAAAGATCAAGGGCAGAAGGACCTGTAGTAGCATATGAAGGAATATCTTGCATAGGAAAAGCAGTGCTTCAGCTGTTCTCAGAAGCATCATGGAAAGCAGAACAAGCTGGCCAGCCTTGTGAGCACTTGTCATGTGAATTCTTATCACGCTGTTAGGGGAGAGGATGCAACCCAGCCAGAGACAAGAGGCTTAGGGGAGTCTTTGCCTGCCCAGCCACCTGGTGTGTTTAAACTGCTTTTGATGTCTTTTTTTTTCCCTCCCTCTGAGAGCCAGCATAGAGCAATGGCGTGTAGGCATGAGCAGAAGGGCACAGAGCCTTTTTTCCTGCTTGAGAGAACATTCACAGAGGAAAAAAAAAGGATGAGAATAAATGGCTGGGAAAGAAGAGGTTATATCTTTACGTCAGCTGATACTTTCCAGATGTATTAGAAGACAGTGTCTCAGCTCTGCAAGTTGGGGGTGATTGACATTTTAATATAAAACCCTTGGAGAGCACCAGGTTGGAGAAAGCTGCTTTATGTACTAAAAAGGATAATAAATGGGAAAAGTGTGAAGGAACCTTGCAGCATTTGTGTTGCTCTCTACTGCTCACAGGTGGTGGTTTATGATATCTGAGAATGTAAGAGCTATATTGCTGAATCAAATAAAAACTGCATGTGGCTGGAATTACAGGTAGTCCTTGAGTTACAACCATTTGTTCAGCAACTAAATTGAAATATTGTATTTTAATGAATTTTATTTCTGCTGTAAACCGCCCAGACTCGTTTCAATGAGATGGGTGGTGACAAATTTGATAAATTAAATGAATTAATTAAAAAAAAACTGTCCAGAGTTATGATGGCACTGAACAAAGGGTCCTCGAAGTTCCGGCTGTTGCAGTGCTCCGGACACGTGAACAAAATTCGGGCGTTTGGCAATCAGCTCGCACTTACAACTGGTTGCAGCATCCTGTGGTCATGTGATCACTGTTGCTGACTTTCTCTGCAGGCTTCCCACAAGCAAAATCTATGGGGAAGCCAGCAGGGAAGGTCACAGTGATAAGTCTCCCACACCCCCCTGGCTTTTCTTCATATGCACTCACCCACCAGCACCCTCCTTCCCTAGCCTTCCTACGCTTGCACACATGCATGCACCCCATGCCTTCTTCCCTGGCCTCCCTGCACTCATGCACCCCCCCACACCCTCTTTTCCCGGCCTCCCTGTGCTTGTGCCACACTGCAGCACCGCCTGCAACTCATGGATGGCATGTGCCAGGCCCTCCCCATCCCCCGTGGCACCCCACACTCCTTACCTGGGATTCCCTCCGCTTCCTGCTTAATGACTGCCTCTGAGGGTTACGATGAGAACCAGGACTGCGTGGATTGCTATTACTAAGCAATGTGGTCATGTGATGTTGTACTTTACAACCGCATCGCTTAGCAGTGGCGATCTGAGTCCCAGTTGCTGTTGTAACTCAAGGACTACCTGTATTTTCCCATCTGGTCATTAGGTTTATATCAGGGGTGCCCAACTGATCATTGCTTAATGTTAGAGCGCGTGTTTTGCTTATTGATACGCAGGCAGAAGATGATGGGAAGAATCTCATGGCAGAGATTCTGGAGAACCACTCCAATTGTATGCCAGAGACATGGAACAAGTCCTTTTTTCCTTATATAATGACCCCTCCCCCTTTTCACCCCTGTATGTTTAAATTCATGGAGGATAAATCCTATCAATGAACATACTCCCTGAACAGGAAGCATTTTATAATTAATTATATCTTTTGCAAGTGGCCTTCTCCCTTACTTTCCCCCAAGATGAAAAGTAAAGAAAAATAAAATGGCAAATCTCCCGGCTGAACTTACTGGAAGTGTGGCATCCTTGGTCCAGAAGGTGATGGATGGTACAAAGAAGTGGAGCTTTTCTGGGGATAAGGTTTCTCTCTCTCTCTCAGGGTGTGTCTCCCTGATATTGATCTGCCCAGCAGGCAGGGCGGGGTTTCGAATTTGTCTATCAGACCAGATGCGGTTCCTCACTCCTGCAACAGAAGATGAATCAATTATTGCTTTACATCTCCAAAGCAAGTGGCCTAATCGGCGATACACATTTGGATAACTGACTGATCAATAACTGGTTTTTCAAGTTCAGCACTGATTTCTCAAGTGCTGTCAACGAATTATTGAGAGGAAAGGAAAATGTCAGGCTATATTAACGCTCATCTATTTCCAGGCAGATGTCACATTGGAGAAGAAGCTTGGTGATATCTGGATAAAAGTCCCTTGTGTGGATCAACTCGGGAGCTGCATCTATGACGATCTTTGCATCTTCCTAGACGGTTTTTTCCCTCCAGGCCAGACATGTCCAGAGCCATTGCTAACTTATGGCATTCCATGTCACTGCCCATTCAAAGCGGTGAGCCCAGTCTTCATCCTTTTGCTTCTTAAGCTTCGAAACAAAGCAACAAAATCTTTTGAGAACTGGCAGCTCTTTACCCTCCTTTCCCTGTAAAGTTTGTGCACCTCCAGGAGCTGTGCACCTCCATTAATGCAGTTCTGTACTCTGAAACAGATGATAGATTTGCCAAGATTTTCAACTGTACTCAAATCTTCTGTAAGTTTTTTTTACTGGTTACATATTGAGTCTTATGATTACAGAATGAATACATTCAGATGACCCATAATGCAGTGCATCTCTGTGAAAACCTTTTATCAATTAAAAAAAAAAGAACGATGCACTAAAATAAAGGAATTAACTTGCAAATAGAACTGGACATCTTTCAAAGGGGTATCTGGATTTTCTGTGAAAACATATGGCTTGGTGTGGAAAGAGAGAGCACAAAATGCAATCCTTGGCGAGTTTTCTAAAATTCCCTGTTTTGCCCCATTTCAGTCCAATTCTGTTGCCCTTCACTATCCTGCCAGTGTTAGTCTGCAAGTCCTTTTTCAAATATGCTTTTAGTAATCCACCTTGTTATAGTAGACATTCTCTCTCTTAGAGGCCCTAGCCAGCTGCCTGGGCTGTAAAAGATTTGTCTCTCTTAGCTATCCATAGCTGCTTCTAGTAACAGAATAACAGCACAGAAACAATGAAAATTTCCATACTGGGACATATTCAAGTGCACCATTTTGTTTAAGCAATTTGCAGTGGTCTTTTACTGATTACACTGAAGAGCTATTTCAGTAATTCATCCCACAATTGCTTGCTGATTTCTGCTCCTGTTTTAAAAGATATCCCTGGAATGGTTTATTGATACTGAAATTATACTCTGATAGACAGGGAAAGGTGACATATCAACTGCAACCTGATGGGGACTGATGGAATGTCTTGTCTTTCTTCTTCTCAGGGTTCTTACAGTCTTCCTTCCTCTGAATTCTTCATACCCAACATGGATTTGCCTTCTTTCCTCACCAATGGAGACTACAGGACGAGAGTTGTGCTGAGCAATGGGGACCAAGAACTTGCCTGCAGCAAGGTGTCCTTCTCCTTGCAGTCAGAGAACTGGTGGCTTTGATGGCTACCCTGAATCTTAGTGTCAAGTGCCATGTTTCTTCCAGCTTTTTCTGTCCTATTATGACTAACTTGAAGAGTTGCTTTGCAGCATTTAAAGAGGAAAGGTTATAGGTACTGCTTTTGTGACTGCTGTTAATTACTTGGAGGAACGATTGGAGAATCCAAGGAAGGAATGCTCCTTATTAGAAAAAGAGATGCCTGCCCACCTAAAGCTTATTAAGGACCATGTTATACAGGTTATTAGTTGTACATGGAAATGGGGATCTGCATACATTGAGCATGCGTTTATCTGGCAGATGCTGGGCCAGGGGCAGGAACCCAGCATTGGAGCATTCCATGAATGGTCTTTCCCCATCAGGTTTCCCTACATTCTGGGATTTTAAACAGGAGATAGAGGGCTCTTCGAGGCATGAGGTAGTGGAAGTGTGTATGGGTGTGCTGATGACAGGATAGTCTAAACCAGATATTAAAAAGACTGGAGAAGAAGTTGTATTTTCTGCTTTGGGGATGCTCATTCAGACTAGCCAGACCAGCTTAGTGACCTCTTTGACATTTTACCGAGTCTATATGGGGTGACTCTTTCAGTGAACCCGAAATACTTTTTATGAATGGACAGTTTCTAAATGATACCATTAGGCAAGTCAACCAGACTCTTTCATCCTGAGGTGAGCTTTGTGAATGAGGGAAACTAGAGCTAAGAAAAATATTGGGGAAATCACCGTTTATTTTTTCCAATACATTCCATTTACATCCTCTTACTTTAAGTGGTATATTTTGTTTGCTAGTATATTTACCTAGTTCTGTATAAAAACACATAACCTTGTCCTTGCCTTCTGCACATAAGCTTAATGTTTTGTTGGGGAGGTGAGCCCAGAGGTATGAAAAAGAAGAGGCAATTTAAAAGGAAAAGTGAGCAGTCTGCCCTCTATCTCATAAAGTTGGAAGTGCCCCATGTCCAATGCATAACCGTGCACTGGGTGCAGTTGTTGGTTGAAACCAACAGGGTGAAAACACACCGGCTGTTATGGAGGTGGGGCTTTTCTCTGGCAGCAAAAACAAAATTCTCACTGTAAGAATAATTTACAATTGCTCAAATAATTTTTAACTTCCATTTTATATAAGACTGTACTAACACTTCTTTTTTAAAAAACTAAATGCTTGCAGAGGTATTGCTGGGCAAAGCAGCACATCTCCATCTAGATGAGCATTTCTCTCCTTGTTTGAAGACTTTCTTGTTCCTAAAAAACCAGCTGGCTCCACTTGCTAACAAGTGTCCTGGAACACAACTTTCTGTTATTTTCAAACATACTGTATATCCTGTGCATAGAGCAAAACTGATTGGCTTATGTCCATGCCAAAGTATACCATCTTGGAGCACAAATTAGTGACCCAGGAGACAATCAAATAACCCAAGACGTTAATTAAAGGTAGTATTGTGCCATAATTTGGACGTCATGTATAAATATCCTGTTACAGAGAGTTCAGCCACATTTTTTAATCCCCAAACAATGATCACCAAGTGATTCTCTGGTGCAGTGATAGTATATTATTGAGCTAAGCGCTGCCCCAGCAAAGTGTGTCAAAATTGAGAACATTTTCTGGTCACAGCCTTTGAGAAGGTAAGTATTAACAATGAGCCATCATAAGCCTCTTTATTAATGGAAGGCAGCATTAATGCGCTGCTGTTCTTTTGAGTGCTTGTCCCACTTTGTTACAGGATCTGCTGCTTTTGCACTGGGCTTGCTGCAATTCTTATAGCCAAGCTGCCAAACCATGATATGACAAGGGGTTCTTCTTACCAGCCAGCTTGTTACAGAGCCAGAAGCTGATTTGGACCCTAACCCTAACCCTAGCTGGCTTTCACATTTAAGGGAGGACTAGAACCTGGGTTTCCCATTTCTAGTCTAACACCTTAACTGCTATACCATAGTGACTCTCAGAATATCTTCTAGATATTTTGGATTACTAAAAGTAAGCTGCTCTTGAGCTGAACTTGACTCCTGGTAATTACATGGAGATGTCTATGTAATTGATTCCAGCAATAACAGAGAAATAGTCTGGCTTTGCAACTTCCTGGGATTCTATTTTACTTCCCAGTCTAACCTATAGCTCTGGGATTTCCCTGGATGTCTCCCATCCAAGTATTAGCTAGGTATGATACAGCTTAGCTTTTTGCCATCAGCCAGAGCCAATTAGATACAGTGTAGATAATCCCTGGCTGGTGCTTAAGGCGCATTCATGCAAACAATCCAGGACAGAGTCCTTGGCCCATAGTTCTAGCTTAAGAATTAGGCTTGGCAATGGTTACTGCTTGATATAAAAATTACAGAACTTTTCTCCCAACTGCTACTGAGTAACCTTGGATGTGTTCTGTTTTTTTCACTTTGTCCTCTGAGCAATAAGATGCTTTGCTTCTACACCTGCATTTTTGTGCAGAAATGTAAGTTTTCATACTCTTGCTTTTAAGGACATTAATAGAAATCTGCCTCAAGCATTAGGTTTCATTGAATTTTTGGTACTGCCTGTAATCTTAGGGTATTCCACGTAATTTGAATGGATAGGCTAATATGACATTTCATTAAAAATTATTGTTTTGTATTCTACTCTCTGGCTCCCCAGATCTCGGTTCCTCCATCTACCCAACATGCTTTTTGATCTTATCTCCACTATATACAATATGTTTCATATTTACCTCTAATCCTAATAAATGCTATGTCACTTGGTATGAACAGGAAAAATACAGCATAGCTTATATTGGAGTAACAATCCAAATTATACTTAGAGGAGTTATGTTGCTTAATCATGAGTTAATTTGTAAATTTGTTTTAGTACATGCAATTTCCAAGTAAGAGTCTTGGAAAATAACAGGTAGTGGCAAAAGTTTGTTTTAATTCTAGTTTAGGAGTTTATCCTATCTTTTTCTTTACATTCTTGCATATAGTAATGATGTGACCTCTTACTCTCATCCATTTAATTGCCTCTAAATCACATGTATAAAAAAGATTCTCGGAAGTATGTAGACATGACTGTCTTTATTGCCTCCAAAGCATGCAATTATCATTGTATTCCTACTTTAAATAGTCAGAGCTATGGCATGGCTATATGGCTAATACTATTCAGTAAACTACTGTTATAACTTTGTATGGCAAAGGCACTGTATAAAATTGAAAAGATAATTGCTATGATGTATTCTGATGGCTATGATCATAAGGAAGCAGTTTATGTACCTGTTGCACATCTTGTTTAAAAAATTCCTTTACCTTTTCCTGTACTCAATATATTTCATAACGGATGGGTTTTCTTATTACTTTCTGTAATAATCATACTCAGATCCCAGTTGTGTTGATTTACAGAGATTCATGACATGAGCAATACTTTTTATTCTGAGCTTTGAACAAAATAGCCCACCTGGAATATTCCATCACAATATTTTTGTCAGAACTTTTTAATGTTCTGTGTTGTGATGGCACAAAACTCAAAATACTTTGAGTATTCCAATAGGAACAATGGGAATTCAAAATAAATCTGTTTTTTTGTCCTCTAAGTTGTCTTGTGGGGAGTTCTTTTTCCCAGTCTAACCTATATCCCCATGATTTCCTGGTAATCTTCCATTTAAGTACTTATTGGTCCAACTCTCCCTAGCTTTCTGAGATCAGCCAAGGTTAGCTAGGTGCTGCTATTAGCTGTGGGCCTCACAGATGTTTTTCTATACTACTGGGTAATGTTGCTGGCTTTTTACTCTTTCAGTTTAAGCAGTTGTGTATTTTACTAGATCTGTGATATTCAGACATTCAGTTTTAACAGCTTGTTCTGGCATGATGATTCAGAGCCAGGAATTACTATATGGATTTTTTAAACATTATACAGTTATTAAAGCTACTAAAACAAAACCAGATTTTGTTTACAGTTCTATTTATTGAAAATGAGTATCACAAGACCATTGAAAAAACCACCACCACACATTTGGACAGACAGCAATAGCCTATTGCCAGGTAAGAACAAGCCTTCAGGAAGACGTCTCCTAATGCATTTTATTGCACAAACAGGCATAGTACAAATCACAACTATTGGTGGCCTTCCACCATTCTTCTTTCTGCATATTTTGCTAAAGTGACTTGATGGTTAGTGAATAAAACTCTACCAATATAAAAGCAGCTACTATCATATCCAATTTGAGCCCTCAGACATCCTGGGGAAAAGGCAAGTCAGCTTATTGTGAGTTACATACATCGGGGAGCCCTGGTCTAATATTAAAGAGCTTTAGTGGTTGCAATATTGGCAAGTCTGATTTAAGGGGACAAGAACAAGGGAAATATTACTTCTGGTTTCTGTAGCTAAAAGTGCAAACATCCTAAAGAGTTTTCCTGGCTCAGTTTGGTTCTCTGTGGCTGGGTTTGTGCAGTCCCGTACACCAAAATGTGCTTTGCTTACTTGCAAACCACGATGAAGCAAACTCTGGTTTAGCATGTGATGTGCATACACTGCACTCCTGAGGCAGGTTTGTTGCCTATGTATCAAAAGATACTTGTGTAACAGATTTCAGTAGCAATCAAGTTCCATTCTCAAAATTCAGCTATTCTGGGAGGAAAAAAGATTTTTGTGAAGCTACCTGTGGCTGGCTTGATGATCAGCAAAGTTGGGTTTACTCACCATGCAAAGCTATAGTGTTTGCAGTGCACAGAATGTAGAAACCCAGCTAATCCCTGAGGTTTGCAAACTATGGTTTGCAATCTAGCATAATGCATGAATCCAGACACTCTGGTTTATTTCAATTTGTACGGCCCCCTGATGTGGCAAAAATAGTTGTAAAAACAGTGCATATCGAAGACGCAAGAAATTCGTAACCAAGAAAACCCAGTCAATATACTAAATGCTCCTAAGAGCAGTGTTTCTCAAACTTGCAACTTTAAGATGTGTGCACTTCAACTCCTGGAATGCTGGCTGGGAATTCTGGGAGTTGAAGTCCACACGTCTGAAAGTTGCCAAGCTTGAGAGAAACTGCCTTACAGTCTTCAGAGCCTTATAAAGAGCCCATAGGGCCAGGGCCATCTGAATCTTGGGGGGGAAGCTGTTCCACAGGTCAGGCGCTGTGACAGAGAAGATAGGCCGCCTGGGCCCCACTAGGTGGCGGTCTTTCACGTAAGGGACATGGAGCATGCCGATTCTGATAGGTCGAGGCAACGAGCAGAATGACTGGGAGGCGCGCAGTGACACAAATAACCCGGCCCTGGGTCACAACAGGTTTTAGTGGCAACACCCAGCACCTTGAATTGCACCTAGAAGCCTGCCGGAAGCCAGTGCAGTTTGCAAAGGAGTGGTGCAACGTAACTACCCAGGTTACTACATTTTGAACCAGCTGCAGCAGTTCAGTGTGATCCCATGTACTGTAGTGCCTATAATGATCCAAGCAAGAGGGGATCAAGACCTGGTTCAACAAACCACGGCTGAATGTGAGCCAGGTGCATGTATTTGGCACCTGATGAAAGTAATAATAATGTACGAAATTTAAATGCCACCCAACTCCGAGTGAAAAATCCCACAGGAACTATTTCCTTTCCTTGGCCTCCCAGGGAACAATTATAGTTGTAATTTATAAAGAATCTTAACTAGCTGCTGCTCTTTTGCGACAGCTAAAATCAGTGGCTGGAAACGGCTCCTTTCGCTGCCCGAATGATCCAGTCGTATTCTTCATGAACCATTTTCTCCGCTGCGAAATAGCTCAGGGCAGTTGGAACAACAAACACATTCCCCCCCCCCCTCGCACGCGCATCAGCACACATTTGGCAAGAGAACAGCCTCCTCGAAAAAAGAGATCGAGATGAACACCTAGGATGGTTTAAAGGCTAACCCGAGAGCCAAGCGAACAAAAACCCTGGCGCTCTGCTGCAAAACGGGCTTACTGCAGAGGCAAAAACAGAGTCGCTCGCGCTGCTGTTCCGGAGTCGGGCCTCGCTTTGCAAAGCCGAGGCAGCCGAGCCGAGCCGAGGCAGCCGAGCCGAACCGCACCCGGCGGGCCACGCCTTCGACTCTGCGCCTCCAGCAGAAAGCGCCGCAGCAGAAGAAGAGGAAGAGGAAGAGGAAGAGGAAGCGCCCCGAAGCTTAGCGCAGCAGCGTCCTGTAAGCGGCGCAGTCGAGCCGCAGTCGGTGGCGTGAAGATTCAAAACACAAAACAAAGCCGCGTTCATTGTTTGGGCGGAAGTTGAGCTGCCGAGCCGGAGAACTCCGCGCTCCCAAAAGCGTCACGCCATCTCCACGTCGACCGCAGACCCGGCGTGGTCACGTGAGCGGAGAAAGCAGGTTCAATCAGATGACCTGTCCCAGGAAGTGGCCAAGATGGAAAGCCGGTGAAAGGGAAAAGGAAAGGAGATTAATGGTGGAGGTGGGTCTGGCTCTGGCTCTGGCTCGAAAGGGGGCTGGCAGCTGATCGGGTGCGCGCGGGGACAGGTTAGGAGGATCCTGGCAATGAGGACTAGAGGCTTGGCTGCGTGGATGGGGGAGCAAGCGCAGCCGCTTCTCAGGGTGTGATTTCGCTGATACGGCCAGGCGTTCGTTCAGTGGCCCCGATGCAGCAGGAGCGCCCCGCTTTCTCCCAGCTGTGCAGAGCCCGCCAGAGCAGACGCAGGGCGCTGGGCTCGGCCGTCTGGCAGATGCAGCCGAGAGGGGGGTGCAGGTCCGTGTGAGAAGCGTTAACCTTTTTTATCTGGGGAGATGACCTTTCACCACGGAAACAGCGCGGTGAAAACTTAAAGGTGGGGTGTATTTCAGGGAATGTGGTATTTGTTAAAAAGTGAAACCAAGCAAGTGAACTGGATTATTTTGTCTACCGAATTTAAGTATTTGTTTACAGAGATGTTATATTTGTCACCAGCTGGAAACTGTATGGATCTCCTTGTAGTACTTGTATTAGGGGAGGGGGGAAATGTAGTGTTTACATCAGGATGTCTAAATAAATATCATGCTCTGAACAATGTTTAATGCATGTGGAATAATTGCCATTGGAATAGTTGTCAAGGATCAGGGAAAAGAAAAAAATGCAGTATGTGAACACTGTACAAATATCTTTATTGGGGAAGGTTCAGTGTGGATAATGACTCTGTGTGCATGTGTAGGTAGGTGTGTTTGTGTGTAAAGTTTGTTTCGGTAATGAAGTTCTTCCTGTTTAGGGAAGTGAAGGTCTGGAGGTAACTGTTACAAAACACTTCAAAGCTAGGACTAATAGTTACTTCTATAATCCCTACATAGAGACTTTCAGGAATGCTACAGTAGCCAAAGTAGAATGCAGGAAAATGACGAAGGCTTGTCAAGCTAAGAATCTCAACCAGCCCTCTCCAACCTGCAGTTCTCCAGATATATGTGAACGCTGAACAGGTAAACCTCACTTAATGACCAGAATTTCTGTCACTAAGTGACACAATTGTAAAATGTGACATCACGTGACTGTGCCACTTAATGAGGGCAGTTCTGGCACTTCCGGTTGCTGTCATTAAATGAATCCCGCACTGTTGTTAAGTGTGACATCACATGGTTGCTATTTGCAACCTCCTGCTGGCTTCCCCATTGACTTTGCTTGTTAGAAGCCAGCAGTGAAGGTTGTAAATGGTGATTGCGTGACTGCAGGATGCTGCAACATCATAATTGTGAGCCAGTCGCTGTGTGCCCGGATCGTGATCACATGACTGCAGGGACACTGCAACGGCCACAACTATAAGGACTGGTCATAAGTACCTCTTATGTTCTGCGCCATTGTATGTTTGAATGGTCAGTGAACAAGTGGTTGTTAAGTAAGGACCACCTGTAGTCTTAACACATCTGGAGAGCAGAGGGGTGGGTTGGAGCCTAAATATTATATAATATCCTCTCTAATTTTTTGTGAAAATACACCAGCTTGTGATTCACCTCAGCAAGTTGGTCTTTAACAATAGCTTCACATAACAGTGACTATCTTTAGGAGGCAATAACCTAATGAGGAAAAGCTATAGCATCTGTCTTTTGTACTACTATTGCAATCAATAGCTGATTGTTAATACAGAACCTATCAGAATGAATATATTAATATGAGTTTTTAAGTAAGAGCAGGAAACTTTCTGGAATTCAGATAAATTAAGGAATATACTGAGTTTTGAATATTCTGTCCATCCTGAAGATAGTTTTCTTTAGTTGGTATTTGAATGAGAATTACTCATTGCTGTGTTTTAGACTGCGGTCAAAAAAGGACAGAGCATAGGTCATCCTTGATCTCTGAATGATCCATTTGCTTTGCCAACATTTCTCCTATCTAAGGTTGTAAATGTTCCTCTGGTATTTTTCCAAGTAGCAGGTTTTTTTTTTGTTTTTTTTTTACTAATTAGGGTAGAATTGGCCTTTTGTGCTTCCTGCTGTTTTGCAATCTCTAGTCTGAAATAAAATAAAATCTACTTGAGGTAGAAAAAGTGCTTTTACTAGCTGATTTTCAAGGGAGGGCTCTAGTGCATATTGACAAAAAGTTATAGGGTGACATTAAGCCATGGGTGGGTGGAGAATAAAAGAATCTTGTCTACATTACTCAGAGACTAATACAAAATTACCATGTTCTTTTGATTCATTTCTTATGTTTCTAGAGGGCTAGGAGGAGTAGACAGTTCAACTATTGCTGGATAATTATCTGTACTCAGATTGCCTTGTTGAAGAGTTATCTTTGTCCCTACTCTGGCAAAACAAATGATTTTGCCATGTACTAGGGAGTGATGTTTTTGCTTGCTTACTTACATTAGAAATTATTTTGGGGTCACCTCTGGTCATTCAAATGACATCGAGAGGACCAGTTTTATGAGAAATCTGAAAATAAAGGAAACCTCCTTATGATTCAGCAATTTTGTTATGAATCGGGGACAAAGCTGGCACCTTGCATGCCTATATTTTAAAAATACATTTATGAGAAGGTGGGTTTCTGTTAGGGTTTCAGCTATTGTCATAGAACGTTTCATCAGACAGTGCCTGTGGGTGTTGTATCTGAATTCCTACAACACTGCTTGACCTCTACACTGTGACAAGAATGTGTCAGTAGGCCAAGTCCAATATTTTACAACCCAGCAAAGAAGATCAAAAGGCTCAGTCAAAATTTTAGTACAAACAATTCCCTGTCGTATAATCTAAAATTGTAAAGATCAACATTTCAGCCTAAAGTAATAATCATTTGTTACTATTTGATCTAAACAGCTTCAGGAGTATTAAGCAAATGCTAGCTCATAGACCCAAATGCTTCCAAATGCATAAAAGGCTACCTAAATTTCTTCGGTTCTCTTTGTCCTGGATAGCTTTTTCACTAGCCTGCTATGAAAAATTTGGCAACAGTTTTACATCTGAATGTTTTTCACTTTCCTCTTCATCTGTAAGTGCAACAATATCTTCCCATTTTCTGGGGTGCAGCTATAATCACCCTAGTTTTTGAAGGGAGTGACCCTGCTTACTACTGACAAGTTAGTTTACTGATTGTAGCTTAACAGTCTTTGTGTTTGGCTCCTAGAGTGGAAATTACAACAACGGATGGAACAGATTCTGAACCATAACAAACAGGACTTAGATCTGGCCATTCCACTTTAGACTGCACTTTAGCAGTATATCACGTTATTGAGAAATATAGCAGCAAAACTAAATCCTCCTTGTGTTCATTTTAAGCTGAATATTGATTTTAAGTTGGATATTATTTTTATTCCTTTATTGCTCAAATAAATATTTCTTTTGAATATTTCTTTTTCAAAAGTGTTTGAAGATTCCAAAATTAGAGTAAGATATAACCTACAAATCTCATCATTAATTCAAATCTTTGTAGGTAAGGGAGTTGAATAGGGTTGGATTTTAGCTCCCTGGCTGTTCAGCCTGTACTTAAACATACTTGCAAGGAAATGTTCAGATTCAGACTTCCAACCTCTGAAAATAGTGGATGTGAATGTGCCATTCTTGCTGTTTATAATAACGCAATGATTATCTCAAGGACTCCAGTTAGCCCTTATGAGCCCACAGTAACTTAATGCAGTATTGCAGGGAAAAACAGCTGGTAAGTGGTTTTCAGCAGACTAAAGTGATGGCTTTTGCAAAAGTATCTAGGAAATTGAGATTGATAATAGAAGGGCAGGAGATGAGCAAGTGAGGAGTTTTAATATATTCTTGTGGTGTTTCAGAATTCTGGGGTCATGGAAAACATACATGGATTTTGTGATCTTATACAGGCTCAAAGAAGCTCTTCAGTGATTCTCTTCTGCCTGAAAGGTAGTCAGTGCATTCATGCAGCTCTGAAACAATTTTTTGTTAGACCCTTAGTTCAATTGCTCTGTAGTTCATAGATGGATCTTTACCCAAACTAGAAGTTATTGCAGATACCACAACTAAGTTCATAAGAACATGGTTCATAGCAATATCTACGTGGTGTGGTGGTGGTGGTGGGGAGATTGTGGGGGCAAATGACTAAAGTAGCCTTATGCTGAAATGAAGCCCCTTTTGTACCTGTATCATGCTCACGCACACATCTATGAAAGAACTGGAACTTGTGTTATGATGGTACTACTGATGAAACTGGTGGAACTTATTGACACTTTTGGTGTTAAAAGCATCTAAATGTGAATCCAGTGCAGACCAGATTAGAGTCTGGTCAGTTGAATTTTGAAGTAAGGGCACGGCTGTGAATAAACATCTTTGGCTTAAATGCCATTATTTCTCCACAGGATTGACCCCTCTTACCTCATCTTACCAATTTCAGTCTTCATAGTCTCAAACAGATTTGGGAAAACTCTCATTGTGAGGCCTCTTTGTAGAGTTTCTACATCTTTCACAATTTACCCTAGATAAGAAAATAATCAGAAAAAGCTTATGTTGAACATCAAAATGAAGCTAGCCTTATCTCAGAGAACAGAAGATAACATCAGAGAGCAAATAGAACATGACTTTGCTGATCAGACAAACATTCTTTAGAGCCAGATTTCACATCTTACCCTCAGTAGGTTTGTATGAAAAATGTAGACCCTATAGCTTGCTGAACCTGCCCGTGTGGCTCCTGTGCTGTTGAATTCATCCATCCTTGCTATATAGTTCCTGTTATAATGACAGTTGAAGAAGGCTCATATTTCCTTTATTACATGTCCAAAGTCGGTTTAACACGTTAACTTCCTTTTATCAGAAAAGAAAACTCTTGTGACACACAATGTTGCAACATTTTGCATATCAGCTATCAATATCTGCAGATGAATGACCCAGATTCTATTGAGTAATATGCTCGCATGGGCTTCTCTAAGCAATTTTTATGTTGGTGTTTAAATATCATTTTATCTTTATGGGAGTGGAGATGGGGTGATTGGCGGTTTTTGTTTGTTACTGATCTTTGATCAGACTAAATAAATTTGGTGGATATCCCCCCTTTTTTGTCTTTATTGTTGGGATTATGGACAGACAGGAGCTGGCCATTTTTCCTGCTTTCAAATTCAAATTTTACAGGGTATCAACCTTGGCGCTATAAAATTATTCTTTCTCAGCCATCTTTTAGTAAAGAGAGTGTCACTTTGTTTCTCTTCCTGAGATACAATGGGATTAAATTGTAGAAAGTCCATGAACCTAGAGATACTATCTATTTTATATTCGGCGCCCTTCTGCTGGGATTGATGTCTCAGGCTTGGGGTTGATGTTTATTATTTGTTCAGTGGCCCCTATTTTGTTTTGTTGTTTTTGCTGTCCATTTAGATTATTTTAGTCTGGGCTGTTTTTAGCTGTTTTTATATTTTCCCTAGTTTTGTATGCCGCCCAGAGTCCACTGGAATTGGGCAGCCAGTAAATGTAAATAAATAAATAAATTGTTGCATAAAGTATTTAGTATTTCTTTTGCATGAAATCTGTATTTGCTTAAACTATAGAAAATGTAGTCGTCTTTTTTTCCAAAGCCAGGCCAAATGATCAGTTCTCCAAATTTGTTTTAGAAGGGAAGATGGCTAATTCTTTATGACTAATTCTATCACCTCTTCCCCAAAGCAGAGTAGTTGCAAGTTCTTAATGACTAATTTTTGTCAATCACTGATTCATCAGCTATGGGAGTCCCAGTAATTTAATACTGAACGCTGAACTAAGGAATACTTATTTAACTGGAGACTGACAGTGTCCTTGGCTATCATATTAAAATGTTATAGAGAAATAGTATCAATACATTCCTGGAATATCCTCAGGGTCACAGCTGTGTTTAATTTGATATAGTAAATAAATGTGAACACATATAGGTAAGTTAAGCCAAGTTAAATGAAATCCATTTTATAAAGTTACAATTTATTATTTCTTTATAATAACACTGTGGGCATATATTAAGATAAAAGGAAGAAATAAGTACCTAGACCTCAAAGGGTCCTTAGAAGTCAAGTCTCAAAACATCCTATCTTCCTAGCATGGTCTCTGTTTTCCAAGAACAGTCAGAAGATCTTCCAGGTGTGTCCAGTTTCTTGTATCAAGATGTCTTGTGATCCAAAAATAGCATCCAGTCAGCAACTCAGAAGAAGCTGGCATTAACATATAGTTCTGAAGGGGTGTCCATGAACCTCTTTTATATTCTCAGAGATTATAAAGAGAATATTCATAGAAATTCAAATCTGGATTCAAGATGAAAATAGTTTCCCTTCCAGTTTATTAGCAGTTTTTCCCTATGAACATCAATTAGCAAAATTAACATAAAATTCTGCATAAATAATTGTTGGGTTCAGAGCGACCATAAATCCATGATTTTGAGGAACTGGTGTTCATGGAAGAAACAGTACAAATTCACTAACTATTCCTAATTTTCTGAATTACTATTTTTGAAGAACAGGACTGTTGGCTGTATATATA